CCCCTCTTTGTAGACTACCTTTTGCTTTTCACTCCTTTTTGCTTTCTTTGTCTCTTGTGAATCTTCTAGTAATTGTTCATCTAATACATAGTTGTTACCTGGCACTAAAGAACCCTTTTAGTCCTTCTAAAGCATGAAGGACCAGGTAGTATATATATGAGGCTCTGTGGGCCCATGAGGTCACTGTTCACCTGCTCAGCTCTGTCTGCCCTTGCAGTGCAAAAGCAGCCATGGGCAAATGAGTGTCCTTGGGTTCCAACCAGACTGTACTTATGGACCCTGAAATTCAAATTACATAATTTTTACTTTTTAATTTTACATATCTCCTTACCCCACCCCCAATTATTTAAAGATGTATGAACCATTTTTGGCCAATAGGCCTTACAGATGCAGGCGGTGAGTTGGATTTGGCCTGCAGTAGTTTGCTGTTCCCTGCTTTTATCGGGCAGTGATAAAATAACTGTAGCCATTGAATTAAAAGCAAAAGATGAGGCCTGCTTGTTCCTAATCCTATAGGTAGCTTTTCACAGGTTTGTTTTGTAACTGGCACATCAGAAGCATTGTATTAACTTACTGGGTTTTGGTTTCAGGTGGCACATTTAGAACGAACAGGGCATTACTTAACTGTGAAGGATAACCAGGTGGTTCAGTTGCATCCCTCTACTGTTCTTGACCACAAGCCTGAATGGGTGCTTTACAATGAGTTTGTTCTTACAACAAAGAATTACATCCGGACGTGTACGGATATCAAGCCAGAATGGTAAGCGACACCCTTTGTCCTAACAGAGTTTGTTAGTATTTTGCTCAGAATGCAGTCTGACTTCGTTGGCAGCAGTCTTGTCCTTCCTTTGATTCCGAGGAACTTGATGGTCTCATCAGCTCAGGATGTGTGCTCCATGTTTAGGTATGGGGCTTTCACCGAATGGTATGGTTGATCTCTCTCTTGTGATTTTGCTTTCCTAAGATGACAGAGGGATTGTTGGTATGGGTGTGGGCGGGATTTGCAGCCAAATACAAAATTACAGCTGACTAGCATCAAGCGTCTTTGGAGTCCTTCTCTTGCTGTTGTGATCGACTCAAGTCTCCTGGTACTGTCCTAGATATCAGTCAGTCTTTGTATTTTCTCTGTTCCATTATCATTAGCTCTGAATTATTGATGATTTATATGTTGATGCTTTGGAAAGAGTTAAGCAAGCCTAAAAACCACACATCTCGTTGTATCTTAGCATATTTGATTTGCAATTTGTTATTGGAACTGATTGCCATCATTTTTTAAAGTTTTTTTTTTTTTTTAATGTTTATTTATTTTTGAGAGACAGAGACAGACAGAGTGCAAGCAGGGGAGGAGCAGAGAGAGGGGGAGAATCCAAAGCAGGCTCCAGGCTTTGAGCTGTGAGCACGGAGCCCGATGCGGGGCTCGAACTCACAAACCGCGCAATCATGACCTGAGCCGAAGTTGGACACTTAACCGACTGAGCCACCCAGGCGCCCCTGATTGTCGTCATTTTGAGCAAAATTACCACCCTTCCCCTTTTGTGTGTTTGGCTTTTTGTTTTGGTTAGTTGGTTGGTCGGTTTGCCAGAATCCATTCTATAACTTAAGATAGGAGACGTCAGCTGGGAATGGTGGGACTGAAGACACTTCTTTTAGTTGATGACACTTGCTGTGAGCCTGCTTTCTTTCCTACACAGATTTATTATGACTTCTGACACTTGTGTAGGACATTACCATTTTATCTTAAAGGCTTTGTTGAGAAAAAATTGTATGGCCAAACATTAAAAAAGATTCAGTCAAGGGAATTCTTTGGGGTATAGAGCTATATTTATAGTTATTAAACTTTGAGAAGATCCAATCATTTGAATACCAAGATATTTCTCCTACAGAGCCTGTGTTACTCTAACCTTGGAGAGGTTGGTCAAAACGGTGTTCTAAAGTGAAGAGATTAGTGGCCTAATTTTCATATCTTTGTATTAATGTAAAGAAAGGTTTTTAAAAGATTTTATCTCCAGGTTTTTTTTTTTTTTTAAGTCTATGGAAAGTCCAACATGCTAACTAAAATAAGGCATTTCTAAAAGTGGTGTTAGGCATTTGTAATTTTAATGTTGATTTGGGTTTGTAGATTTGCCTTTGTTCATCATTATATTAATGAGTAATTCCTATCCTACTAGCAACTCCAGTACTTTAATTAAATGTTAATTTGGTAATTT